CCTGTGGTCCCAGCTACTTGGGAGGCAGAGGCAGGAGACTTGCTTGAGCCTAGGAGTTGGAGGTTGCTGTGAGCTGTGATGCCACAGCACTTTACCCAGGGGGACAGCTTGAGGCTCTGTCTCAAAAAAAAAAAAGACAGCGCCTATACTCAGTCATAAGGGTGCCAGCCACATACACCAAGGGTGGCAGGTTCAAACCTGGCCTGGGCCAGCTAAACAACAATGACAACTGCAACAAAAAAACATAGCTAGGCATTATGGCAGGCACCTGTAGTCCCAGCTACTTGGGAGACTGAGGCAAAAGAATTGTTTAAGTCCATGAGCTGGAGGTTGCTGTGAGCTATGATGCCACAGCACTCTACCAACACGACATAGTGAGATTTTTGTCTCAAAAAAAAAAAAGATGATAGTAATAATCTTTCAACTACATACCTATTATAGTACATAACAAGTACAGAGCCTTTTCCTAGCTAAAAAGATACACAATCTGTAACGCAGCAAGGCATTTTAAACTCATTTTGGATTGTTTTATAAATATGAAAAAAATAGAAGCATGTGAGAACCTTGATATAATCTTTGCATTATACATAACCCTAATGGTGTTTGCCCCAGGTTCTCCATCTAGAAAGGAACTGAGAAAAAGTTAATAACGGAACCACAAAGATAATTTAAGGACTGGCAAACAAAACCTGTTAAGTATAGAATTTGAAGAAAAGCATGCTAACGAATGACTTCACAATAGGCAAACAGAGGTAAAATCAGAGCATAGACTCTGCTGGCAAAATGCCAAGGTTGACACTTGGTAGAATTCTACCTTTTAAACTAAAATAAAGATTAAATGTATCACTGGGTTCAGATTCAACAAAAGGCAGTATTATTTGTGCTAAAAAATTATTACCTTATCAAACTAGTAGTTGTAGAAATGTCTGAGTACAACCTTGGGCAAGTCATTTAATCTCAAGGACCTTCTATTTCATCACATACAAAATGAGAATAGTAATAGTACCTACTTCTTAAGATTGCTTTGAGGAATAAATGAGTTCCAATTTGCAAAGTACTTACTACAGTGTCTGCCATAAAAGCATTATACATGGGTTAGCTACTATTATTACATTTACGAAAAAACACAGTCTTAGGAATACTATAGTAAGCAGATATTTTTTACTCAAAAATTGAGAATGGAGCATGAAGATACGAATACAGCATTAAGTGTATGCTGGTTAAACAGAAGACAGACTCTCCTGGTACAGAAAATAATTAAATACTTAAAATGATTATCTACACAAGTTACCACACTACTGCTAAAGATTTATTTTAAAAATAGGATAAATTTTTAAATGCTGTTTTTTGAAATTATCTTTTATTTTTATTTACAAATATTAGTTGTCTATTTTTTGAGACTTTGGAATAAAAAAATAAGAAGTTAACTGATGACTCCATACTGAACCTCAGCATCAAAGCATTCTATGATAGACATACTCTTATCTGACAATGTGAATATTACTTTTTTTGCATATATTATTATTATTACTCAATATTTCATTGCAGCAATGGTCTGATTTATTTTCAGAATGTATTTATCTTCGTTCATTCTTTACGAGGTTTTTGTTTCTAGTCCTTATCTTAAACATTGTTATTGTTATTAAATTTTAAGCCTTTTTAATTTTGTGAAGGGAAAAAGTGGAAACCAAATAAACATACGTATATGTATAGAGAAAATAAAAAAAAATAGGATAAATTTTTATCTACCTGGAATGATTTAAGTGGGATATTGACTGAAGTTGCAGGATAAACTAGAGGTCCTTTCAAGGTCTCTTCCCATCCAAAGAATCTACAATTAACCACGAAAATATTTAATTATGTACAACCCACTCACATTCAAACCTGAAAATATAAACTTAAAAGTTTTTTGACTAGCAAATAAGATTATAATCAAAATAAATTGGGTAGAATTTTAGTTGATGAATAAATGAAAATAAAGTTTAAATTTATCATTGAAGTCTTTATTGATACAGTACTATCAGAATTTTTTTAAATCCATTTTCAGTTCTAGAAATGTCAACTGAGTAATAACCATTCACAATGAGAATCAGTGGCTCAGCACACTATGGCAGCATACAGAAACAAAAGGCAGGACCCAAATGGACCTCTTTCCCTCAGGTGATCTCATAACTGGTATTTTTCTACTGTACCAATATCAAGTAAGTCTAAAATAATTTCTATAAAGATGGCAAGATTAAGACAACTACATTATAAAAATGGCAAACCATACACAGAATACAACCTGCTATTAACCCCAGCCCAAACATATCTATGAAGGAAAGGAACATATACATATATTTCATAGAAACAAGTGCTTCATATCAAAAAGTTACTCTTCATCTTGAAAGTGAAAATTTCAAACTAACCTGCTTAAAACTTAGCAACAAAAATAATATTTTTTTAAAAATCCTGTTAGAGTGTTAAATCAATCTAATCCCTTTGAACATATGCTTAACAAAATCCAGGAAACACCCATGTACTAAATATCTACCACTAACACAGTAACTAAATCCAAAAAGGGTTAAGTTCTAAATTTATCTATACTAATAACCAATGTTTCTGATATCCACAAGTCAAAATCTCCTCTTTGCTAACTACTACAAATGCCATAAATCTAATCTTTGCTATTTATACAAACACTGACAGAACAGTTGCAATCCAAAACTGACACAACTTTGAAAAAAAAAAGGTACCTTTTGGATCTGAATGTACGCTAACGAAATAATTCCAAATAAGATTCTCAGGAGCAGTTTGCATGTTTTCCCAAGTACATTATATACTATCATCTGCCATCTTTAATTGCAAAATATTCATTCACATTCTTAGCTGAATGTAAATATTTAAGAAAAATCTAAAAAACAAAATACTAAGAATAACCAAAATTTTGTCCCAGATTTCTTCCTTTTAATTTCCAAAGTGTCTTAAAAAAACAAAAGCTTCCAGAAAACTAATATTAATCTGGCCTTCTTTAGTCACAACCATAAAACACAAGAGAGGAGCTGTCCAAAACTCCAGCTGGCAATATTATCTTAGAGATTTTTTCAATAAAAATTACTCATAAATTAATTATTTAACCTAAAAAGTAAGTCTGCCCACTCTACAATTCTCCCTGTCTTTATTCCACTTCGTTAAATGGGTGAGTTACTACAGTATAAAAGGTCCCACACAACTCTAAAGGCCGTTTAGGAGCCAAAACCTGCAGCCCTGATTTAAATCTCTCCCCCAGTAAATTTCTCTCGTTGGTTATTCGCCTTTCTCTGAAATGATTTCTCAATATTCTCCAGCCACTGAAAACAATTAAGCATAAACCTGGTTGACTAATGGAAACAAAGATTCTTTTTAGCCCAAAACTTCATTGAAAATGAGAATGCTGTAGATTAAACATTGCCCAGCACTTCAGGTATAACACTGCCACAACACCAAAACTATCACACAGGTACAAACACACCCTTTTTCCTCATTATCACAACACCAGTGAAATGCGAGGTTGTTGCCACCCAGAGTTGATGCTTTATCATTCATAAAAAATCAAATCAAATTAAAATTGATCTCATCTCCTCAAAGTAGACAGGAAAGTCGAATTAAAAGCAATGAAAAATGGAAGTGAAATCAAGATTCCTTGAAAAGAAAAAGAGATTTCTGGAATTTCCCACTTTTAGGGACAAAAGGACTCACAGTTTCAACACTGAATTCTCTTCTCAACAAAGAATCCCTTTCTTGCACCCCCCACATCCCTACCTTTAAAATTTTTACCCCTGTGTCTAGGAACCCTTTCACTCACCATGGTTCCTCTTCTTCTGCACCAAAAGCTCCCTACACTTGATCCTTCACTACTGCACCTGTGCCCTGACCCTTGCAAACCTTCTGGAGCATCTCCCCATGATATGCACATTTGATTCCAACCCCTGTACATCTATCCCAGCTCTACATTCATCAGGACTCTCCCAGGTTCCCCTAGCCCCCTCCTCTTCACTTATTCCCCATCTCATCCTAAATCCTGGGGCCCATCTCTTCCTTGTTCCTCTCCCATTTGCTTTTAGCTCTGTCTCTTTACCTCAACCGTTTTCACCTCGGATCTTGTTGAAGCTCTTCAATGAACATAATTCCCAAGTACCCTCGTCCCAGACACAAACACTTCTTAAATCACTTTTTACACCCTTACTCTAGTCACCTTTCAGCTTTTTTGGTCCCGGAGTTGTCCCATAAACACCCATCTCTCATCTGTTTCCCTTTGCCCTTCCACCACGCTTTTATTCCTCACTATCCCTGGTTCTAGTGTCCAGGTTCTCATTCGCTCTTCCTCACTTTACAGGAATTCACACCCACTGCCCACCTAACCCATACCCTTCTCAGAACCTCAAAAGCAGTTCCCACCACACCCCCGGTTCTAGTCCTTCAGCTCATCTCGCTCTGCACTAGTTCACACCCTTGTCACGTCTGGCTCTTAATCACTCCTCTCTCCTTCTCCCAACTATTATCCCAGCTCTGCCTCTCCTTGTCTTCCACTTCCAACTCTTACCCAGTACCCCTTACCCCAATACCATCCCCTACAAAGCTTCCCCTTCAAACCCCAGCTCTTCACACCTAACCCCAGGATCCCTCTTCCAAGCCCTGGTTTTCCTAACCTCATTCCCTGCCCGGCTTCCCTTAACGCCCAACCTGCTTTTTGCCTCCTTCCTACCTCCTTGGCTGGCTGTTTCTCACTCCTCCTCTCCCTGGCTTCTAACCCTTTCTCCCCTTAATCCTCTTCATCTCATTCTCAGCCCGGTTCCCCTCAACCACCCTCAAGCCTTCATTCCCTTCCTCCTTCGAGGCTTTTAACCCAAATCTAATAGCCGCCCTCCCAGCCAAAATAAAGCGCTCTCGCGCCCCTACTCCAGGCTCTCGCCTCTGCCGCCCCCGCCCCGGGCGCCCCCAGCCCGCCGGCGCCGCGGTCCCGCCCCCTGCCGCCGCTCCTCCCGCCCGCGAGGCGCGCGCCGCCTTTGTCGCCCCTCACCCGGTGTGTGAGGATTTTGCTTCTTTAAAGGGGAGGGCTAGTGTGGCGAAGACTCCTGTCCCCGCCTCCGAGTCTTAGAATGGGCTCCCAGGCCGTTGTGGCCTCCCCAGCCCCAGTCCCCCCACTCCCTGGAGCTACCCCCTCCGCTGCTTGCCCACCTCCTCCGCCCCCTCCCCCGGCCCCCCTCTATTTACCGCCATCATCAGCACGCGCGAGCTGTCACTAGGGCGCGAGACAACCGAACACGGCCCCGCCCCCTGCCCGTCTATTGGCCCGCCCGCAGGAGCCCCGCCCCTCGGGCCCCGCATTGCGCCAACGGCGCAGCACTGGGCCCCGACCCCGGCACTGACACCGTCTCTGAGGGCTCGCGCCGCAGGCGCAAAGTTTAGGGTCAGCCACCAACGCGCGGCCGATTAGAGCCTGGCGTAAGGGGCGGCGGCGTAGAGGAGCGTTGTGAATCGCCGGTCGAAGTTTGGTTGAAGCACAGGAGGGTAAATAAGAAGGTTTCCAGACAAAGAAACTCTTAAAGGTACAGAGTCTTATGTCTGTTCCTCCTCCTTAAAGGGCCAGAGACTCTCTCAAGCCTATCTCTCTACTCCTTCCCAGCCTTTCATCCCGGGTAACTGTAAAGGAATTTGACAGAAGTTCCCCCCGTACTCTTCTTGGCTCACCTTTAACATCTCTCTCCAATGCAAAAGGGCAAAACCTTTCTCACTATCCCATCTATATGTTTGTGTGTTCTGTTAGACTTAATTTTAACTGTGTTGTTCCTAAAGAGCAGCATGCGATCCAAGGGGTTTCCAGAAGCAGCTTTTGCAAAAGTTACTATTGGCTCCCAGACAGGCGAGCACGTGTCAGACTTTTGCCACTGATGACCTAGGTGGGGATTCAACTGTTTAATGGAAATACCCACCAAGGAAGAGGATCGCTATCATGAAATGAAGTTCAGTAGATGGTGGTGTAAACCAGATTGAGTTTGGTAATGGCCCGGAGGACTTTTAAAGAAATGGGAATGGAGACCATGGGGAAACAGAATAGCCGGCTAGTTCTACAGAAAGCGTATTACTTCCAAAGCAGTGTCCCTGGGGCACTGTCCTGACATGCTAGGGGAGGTAACTCAAAATAAGAGCAACACTGTTTCAACACTCAACTCTCGTCTAAGGCTTACAATTAAGTATAAGGACAAGTAAAAGAAGCATGCATTATCAGCAATAATAGTGGCTCAAGGCTACACACCTGTAAATATGAAATAGGGAAGCACAAAAGCCAAAGACCAAACACACACACCCACACACAAAGGAAGGAAGAATCTACAATGCCTGGAGCTAAGCACAGTGATGACAATTAAACAGGCATTTTAAGGAGGTTTGACAGAAGAGATGTGGAGTGGTTAGGTTTAGTTTGTCCTGTGGTTCAAAGGCTGAGTGAAATCCAAAACTTAGCACTCTCTTTGTTGTGTATCACCTTTAACATCATTCTTTTTAAGGAATTCTTACATTATAACTTCTTAATTATCTGTATTCTTCCCTTACTCTCCAATCTCCAAGAAAATTTTTGGAGAAGAAAGTCTATCTTATTCAGTGTTAGTTCCCTACCAAAGTGTTTTTGGTGATTGAAGAATGTGGGAGCCACTTAAAACTTCTGATAGAAGGGGTGCTGTCAGAATAGCAATCCAAAAGGGATGGACTGTCAGAGCTGTGAGCATGAATTAGATCAGTGGTTCTCACTAGTCTGAGAAGCCCTAGGGATCCCTGGAACCCTTTGGCAGGAGGCGGGAGATGGTAATAAAAACAT